AAAAATAATGTACATACGACAACTGCAAAATGTTATTGTTTGAAAACCAGAGCTGACAATACTTTACAATGGGAGTTGAAAGCTCAGACGACAAAATGTGTTGACAAAATGCTGGGAGGCCTTCCAGTCTTTGACGTAATATTTCGGGCTAAGTCGCATATCGTCATCTTCTGTACAATGGCCTCGATCATAATAACAAAGTACAGCAAGTGAAAATTTTACAATCGCCCTCTTTTTCCCCTCTCTGCTAAGGATCTTAAAATACAAAGTTCCATTTTTAACCTGGAACTGTTCAAACGTTTTTGCTGGCATAAAAATGCTCCTTTTAAAATCATGTCCAATTCATCCTTGTCTGAAAGGTAAATAGATGGATACTAAAGTCAGCATATCAATATAAACCTTCATGTTCCTGGAAATGAAATTATCACAACCCAATAATGAAACAATTGAACACTACACTTCCCACATATTTATGACTAATACATAGAACTTTAGTGAGTCATTCACATATAATCACCAAGAGAAACAAATATATATATATATATATATAGAGCAAAACTTGTGTCCACTTAAGTTGTGCTACAGGACCCCAAATAGGGGACCCCTGAAGGGACAGGATTTACTGTTCATGAACAGTAAATCAGCCCCTCAGGGACTGACATCTCACCTGTCCCCTCAGGGGTCCCCTATTTTGGGGTCCCTGAGGAGTTTTCCTATATATATATCCTTAAAGGGTATAGTTCCAGACTTCCAGTCATTAGCCGACCAGTTTTAATGTTGGATTACTAGCATCTAAACTACAGGAAGTTGCTCGCTTCCCAGAAAACTAGGGGGAAAAGAAAAGAAATTTTCCATCGTTATAATTCATCAACAGTTCTACTACCACGCCAAAGCTGACCTTGGCAACAGGATAACGTCAAAGCCCTAAGGGTTAAGAGTCCCACTCAGAGTAAACATGGCTGTAGTTTAAAGTAATAGATGTATACAATTCTTCCAGAAAAGGTATTACGTAAAAGAAATATTATTTACAATCAGTACATTTGAGAGAGAATTATTCAAAATCCATGGGCTACAGCCTACTTGGAAAATAATGAAGAAAAAAAATTCAGTTCAAATGTTTCAGCAAAATAAAACACAGATGTCTTAGTCATATCAAGCAGGAAATATCAGGGTAACAAAAGGGGTTTGCTTACCAGTATAAATTCGATGAGAAGTATTGAAGATGCTTGCCTCCATCATTTCAGCCTCTAACATCAGCAAATTTGTTCTGTAGCGAAACTAGGCACCTTATCTTACAGTTCTGTAATCTCTATAAAATAATGCAGAAGTCCATAACTGAAGCTTCAGTGTAGTACCAGATGCTACAACATCAGGTGACCTTTGTTCAACCAATATTTGGAGAACCAGGACAAAGATCCAGAGATGGTTTCACTTTAACATGATCCATATGTGCACTCCTTCCAAACTGAAGACTGAGAATGTCAGTTTCTGATGACTTCTCTTTAGATATAGGCGAAACTTGCTGTATGCCTTGGATAAAGTCAAGCCTAGGGTCATGATGAGTGGACCCAGTAATATACAGATCGCTTGCACACCTTGGCATGCACACAAAACCCTCATGAAGGTAAGGCAACTGATTTCGCTGATTGAACGGAAGAGCCCCATTACCACCTGTCAGAGGTGTTGATGAGCCTGAAGTGGTCTTTGGGCTTGATATGGGAGAAGGGGACATCCTTCCACTGAAATGTTGATGTGATCTTGAGTTTAGTAAAGGGCTTCCAATAGGGGAGACAGGACAGGATACATGTTTCATATCAATATCACTGCATGAGAACACTTTGGTTTACTTTCACCTCCGCATATCTTATTACATGTTCGAAGAAACTAACGAATGACTAGAACAAATAAAAGGAAAGTGTAACCTTCATCTTAAAAACTTATTGTAACAGGATCCAAAAGGAAATAGTGATTACTCCCTTTTATGATTCCAATCCCTTCTTCAGTTTCACAGGATTAAAGTCATAAGGAGACAACACAAGCCTTTAATTTATCAAGTTTATCTAGAGGGCAACAGTATGGTAGCTCCGTAATGCAAAATTATCAGTTAGCCTCCACAACCTGTCCCTATGTAAACCATATCTGAGCAGTGAAGTTGACAATTAAAATATAGACTTCCCAGTCTACAGAGGCATATTAACATTACTACATGATACATATTTCTTCAAGGATCACGGTGCAATCATTGCAGTTAGAACAAGGTTCACTGGCAGGCTTGCCTAGTCGGACAAACAAATGCATAGTATGTGCAAGATTGTCAAAATGACCCATCCATGACATCATTGACATGAACCATAGGGTACTAGGAATCCGCAACACTATTCACAGGTAAAGCACTGAGAATAGCCTAAAGCGTATTTTTACAATTTAATAGTAGGAAACTATTTACACAAAACACAGTCAAGTTCTAATTTATTCTTGGGGGAAATATGTTGTACCATGCATCTTTTCCAGAACTATTTCTTCACATTACCTAAATTAATTATTCATCCATCACGATAATTCTTTATCACTATATGCCCATCTATCGACCAATACACATCTTTTCAGAATTCTGGAAAGTGTATGGACATATACTTCATTTAAATAGAGAACAACTTTATTCCACATTAGATCCTTTTCCTAAACTTGATTAAAGGATGAAAAGCCTCCTAACATTCACTGCAATTAAATATGACTTAGTGCAAAGGTGTGTTACGATTGCATATATATCTAACATACCGTACCAATACATTTTAGAATCATCCAATAATATAGAATATTTTGTAGCTGCTTAGAATCACATAGCTCGTCTACAAGTTCATCAAGGCCAAACTGTAATTATAATATACATATCAAACATATGAAACAAAAAACTTTGATTTCATCATAAAAATAATGCACATTGGACACCTTAAAATTGTCTAAGTATTTCACATCGTCCTTCAAGGAAAGACAAGATCTAAGATTGTAAAAGTTAGCCTCAGAAACTTTTGTTTCTTCTCTATTTTCAGGCTAGGTTATCCCATGCCACCACTCTCATAAATATCTTCCTGCATAATATCGCAACCCGTGCAAGAATGAAATTAATCAGTAGTGGATATCCAGCTTCTTGTTGACTTCACGTACCCTTGCTGGTGCTGCACACGTGAAGGAATCATAGTGGCAGGAGACGGGGAACCGACAATTCATTTACTCAAAAACCCATTTAGCCTCGAAGGCATCTTGTCACAGGCTCTCACGTGTCCTAAACACCTTGTCAGTTGCCATAAATCAAGCTAACTCTCAACATTAATGCAGGCAAGGCTCTGATTGATTTAGCAAGATTGAAGAAGATATTAATGGGGTTTGAGAGTGATACGGGTGTATCTTCTCTTCGGAACTTAGCGATCCTCATGGGAGCTTGAGGATAGATGATTCTCATACTAGCATGAGAATAGGGGGTGTCAAACAGTATAAGGGAACACAGGAGGAAGCGTGGAACAAGACGACGAGCAGAAGAATCGAAGTACCCAGTTTTCAGCCTGTGAGTCGACTCATGACTGTTATGAGTCGACTCATCAGGTTGAGTCGACTCATGACTGTCATGAGTCGACTCATCGCTGGTTATTGAGATTTCTCCAGTTTCTGTCGAGTCGACTCATCTCAGTCATGAGTCGACTCATCGAGGGTTTCCTGGTTCGTTTGGGATTCTGTTCACACGAATTCCTGTTGGTTTTGGGTCTGGTTATTTACCAAATTGCCATCCACGTTTGTACACCTATATAAGGGATTGTTTTAGGGTTTCTAAACAATCAGGGAGTTAAATCAAGAGAGATTAACTTGTAATTGAGATTTGGAGAGCTTGTTCTTCAATTCTAGAGTGAGATTGTGAGAGATTGTAAATTACATACTCATAATCTAGAGGAGGTATTTTCCTTCGCCCAAAATCTGAGTTATTCTTGTATTCTTATTATTTCTCCTCAACCCACCTTTGATAATTCCGCGATCAAAGGTGCTCGCACGGCAACTCGTATCAAGTTGGTATCAGAGCAATCAGATCCTACGAAGGGGGCATCCTGTGCATGGTCCTGACTCGTTCGCAATACAAGGAGCTTGGCGAGATCCTTACTTCCTTGGAAGGAGCCCAAGAGTTAAGGAAGGAGAAAATGTCTGAAACAGATAACTCAACAAGACTTGATGCCATGGAGAAGCAGATCGAGACGATCGGTTCGACGCTCAGTCAGCTCGTGGGTCTCATTAACAAAGGGGACAAAAGAGAGGAATCTTCTTCGAAGGGTAAGAAGAAAATCATCGAGTCCGATGAAGAGAGCGAGAAGTCTGATTCAGATGAGGGAACTAAGATTGTTAGGACTGCTGGACATCAAGGGGGTAAAAATAATTACCAAAATTTAAAGATAGATTTCAAGGTGGAGATTCCTGTCTATGATGGGAGTGTCAATGTAGAAAAGCTCGATGATTGGATTGAGCGTATGGAGATGTACTTCACCCTCTACGGATATTCATCCAAGGAGAAGATTGTGTTCGCGACATTGAAGCTTTCAGGACACGCGTTGACGTGGTGGAAATCCTATTGCAAACAGGAGAAGAAGGCAGCGTCGTGGAACAAATTCAAGGAGCTACTCAGGAAACAGTTCTATCCGGTGGGGTTCCTTGAGGAGCGTTGGTACAAGTGGTACGGCTTGCGCCAAAGATTCAATCAGACCGTTCAAGAGTACACGACGGAGTTCCAGCAGCAGGCGATGGTTCTAAACATCGCAACGGACGAGTACTCCATCTTCATGAAGTACATGGCGGGACTGAATGATTACATCCATAAGGAGATGAAGCTGTTCACGGTCGAGACGATTGCAGAAGCGAGCGTGAAGGCAATTGCCATTGAGGGAAAACAGAAGAAGGGCAGCGAAACAAAGGGTGACTCCAAACAATCGGGAAACAAGTCGAGTAGCTCTCAACATAAGGAAGAGAAGAAGAAGGGTGATTCAGGGAAGGCAGGATTGACATGCAATCACTGCAAGCAGACAAGGCACGTGGCTGATCGTTGCTGGGATAAGTACCCTCATCTGAAGCCGAAAGGGTTGAAGAAGAAGGAGGAGAAAAAGGCGTACGTGATAGCACAGGGTCCGAAAGAGGTTCCCGGGATGACAGAGCCCAACAACAGCCTCAACCTTATGGCAGGGAAACAGGCCACAAAAGAAGACAACGACCCGAGAGAGCAACTCTTTGTTCTGAAGTTGCAGGTCAAGACTAGCTTGGTGGATGCCATTGTAGACACAGGGAGTCAGAAGAACCTGATATCTGAAGCGTTGGTACAAAAGCTGGGATTGAAGACGGTGAGGCATCCGAAGCCCTATCCATTAGGGTGGATTCAGAAGGAAGCGGGATTGAGTGTGGTGAACCAGTGTACGTTCCGATTTGCACTCCATGAGTCATATATTGATGAGGTCACATGCGACGTGGTTCCGTTGGATGTTTGCCAGGTTATTTTGGGCAGTCCTTACTTGTGGGATAGACACGCGGTATATGATCGGCGGGCCCAAAAGTATACGTTCACCAAAGATGGCGCGCAATTTATTTTTCGCTCGGCATCTCTTCCGCAGGAGACAAGTTTGGTGATGGTGACTCAGGCTAAGAGGTTGGTGAATGCGGGCAGGAGGTTCGTGTTATTGTTCATTCGGCCTTATGAAGAACAGCTGAGTAGGATATGCTTGTCCACATTGAGCAAGCTTCAGGAGGGAGATCTTGACAGTTTGAAGGCCAAGTATGCGGACTTGTTTTCGGAAATCACGGGACTACCACCACGGCGAGGTGTAGAGCACGAGATTATGTTGACTGGCGAGAGTTCCTTGCCAAACATAGGCCTATACCGCACATCGATACAGGAGTCCGAAGAGATCAAGAAGCAAGTTCAGGAGCTCTTGGAGACGGGAGTGATAGTGCCAAGTTGTTCACCTTGCGGGTCGCTGGTGTTATTGGTGCCCAAAAAGGATGGAGGTTGGCGCATGTGCGTGGATTACCGGGCGCTCAACAAGATAACTATCAAGAATCGTTACCCACTACCACGGATCGATGATCTTATGGACCAGTTAGAGGGAGCGAGGTTCTTCACGAAGTTGGATCTGAAGTCTGGCTATCATCAGGTAAGGATTCGGGAGGAAGACACTTGGAAGACGGCGTTCAAGACCAAACAGGGCCTGTTCGAGTGGTTGGTGATGCCGTTTGGATTATGCAATGCTCCGGCGACTTTTATGAGGCTCATGAATGATTTGTTGCGACCTTTCATAGAGGATTTTGTGATTGTGTACCTTGATGATATTTTGGTGTATAGCAGGACCTGGGAGGAGCATCTTGTTCATGTGGAGAAAGTATTTAGAGTGTTGCAGGATGGACAGCTGAAGCTCAACGGGAAGAAGTGCGAGTTTGGGAAGGACGAGTTGGTGTATCTCGGCTTTATCGTGGGGAAGGGCCAGAGGAGGATAGATCCGGGTAAGGTGACGGTGATCACGAAGTGGCCGATGCCGAAGACAGTGACTGAAGTGAGAAGCTTCATGGGAGCTTGCCAGTATTTGCGCAAGTTCATTCGATATTTTTCGACTTATGCGGCACCGTTACATGGCCTCACAAAGGCTAAGGTTCAGTTCGAGTGGGGAAGGACGCATGAGGAGGCTTTTCAGTTGCTAAAGAGGAAGATCTCGGAGGCACCAGTATTGGCGTTGCCGAATTTGTAGCGGACTTTCGAGGTGGAGACCGACGCATCTAGTTATGCGATGGGCGCGGTGTTGATTCAGGATGGGAAGCCGGTGGAATATCATTCTGAGTTGTTTTCGGGTGCTATTGCGAACTACCCGACCTATGACAAGGAGTTCTATGCATTGTATCAAGCAATCAAACATTGGAGGGTGTACTTGTTAGGGAAGGAGGTGGTTGTGCACTCGGACCACAAGCCATTGGAGTTCTTACATGCCCAGACGAAGCTACAGCAGGCACGGCACATGAAGTGGATGTCGTATTTGATGGCTTTCAACATCATTATTAGGTACAAGAAGGGGGCGACAAACAAGTTGGCCGATATGTTATCTCGTCCGCCGGTAAGAGCTTTATTGGTGGCGACGCGTATTCAGCCCTTGGTTCCTTTGGAGTATGTACAGCTGTATGCATCCAGTAGAGACTTCGGTAGTGTGTTCGAGCAGGCGAAGGCCGGTCAAAAGGGGGAGTATGCACTTGGAGAAGATGGCTTGTTGTATCGTGGAACATCACTATGTATTGCGGAGATGGTGATAGGTTGCAATGGATTCGGGAAGCACATACCTCGCGTGTGCAAGGGTATTTTGGAATTCAGAAGACGCTTCTCAATCTACGGCGACATGTGTTTTGGCTACGGATGCTTGATGATGTGACCAAGTATGTTGGAGGGTGTAAGTTATGCTGTATTTCGAAGCCTTCTAACAGAAACTTCTCAATCTACGGCGACATGTGTTTTGGCCACGGATGCTTGATGATGTGACCAAGTATGTTGGAGGGTGTAAGTTATGCTGTATTTCGAAGCCTTCTAATAGAAAAAGGGGATTGTACCTACCACTACCGGTTCCTTCTAGGCCGTGGGAGAGCATATCTATGGACTTTCTAGGAGGATTGCCGACTACCAAGCGTGGGCATGACTATTTGTACGTTGTGGTGGACCGGTTCAGTAAGATGGTGTTTTTGATTCCTTGTAAGAAGACCGTGACGGGAGCGGGTGCAGCACAATTGTTCTTTGAGCATGTGTGGAAGCACTTTGGGTTGCCGAGCTCGATTATTTCGGATCGGGATAGCCGTTTTCTCGGGCATTTTTGGGATTCTTTGTGGAGTCTGATGGACACTAGATTAAAGAAGAGCACGGCTTTTCATCCACAAACAGACGGGCAAACGGAGGTAGTCAACCGGACTATGGTGCATATGTTGCGGGGGTATAATTCCAGGCATCCCAAGACTTGGGATGAGAGCTTACCATATTTGCAGTTTGCTTTTAATCGGGCGATTCATGGATCTTCGGGAAAGTCACCGTTTGAGACTTGTTATGGATTCTTACCACCGAGTCCGTTTGATCTCGTGTTTTCAAGTGAATCTACGATGGACGGCAAGGAGGGGAATGAAAGACAACGGGCTCAGCGATTTCTGGAGAAGATTGCACAGATTCATGCCACGGTTGAAGCACAATTGAAGAAGTCACAAGCAAAATACAAGGCGAAGCATGATCAACATCGGGTTCCTTGTAACTTTGGCGTGGGCGATATGGTGTGGCTGAAATTGAGTAAGGAGAGGCTAAAAGGAGAAGGCAAGAAGTTGAAGCCTATTCGTTATGGTCCGTTTCGGATTCTCGATCAGATTGGCGACAACGCTTTTAGGCTGGATTTGCCGCCTTACTTAGGCATGTATTCGGTGATCAATGCTGAGTACTTGAAGTTGTTTGAGCCTCCATTACTGGATGATGAAGGTGATGACAAGGTGATCTTACCGCATGTTGATGACTTATGGTTTGATAGAGAGGAGCCGCTGAAGGAAGATTGCATTTTGAAGCGAAAGACGACCACGACAAGAAGGGGAATGAAGGAGTCGTTTCTCATCGGACGTCAAGGTCAAGTTCCTAGCAAGGCTAAGTGGTTCAATAAGGAAGGAGGGGCTCGCGAGTTTCCTCAGCTGAAGTTCTAACTTGAACGGGACTTCAAGTTCTTAAAGAGGGGACACATGATACGGGTGTATCTTCTCTTCGGAACTTAGCGATCCTCATGGGAGCTTGAGGATAGATGATTCTCATACTAGCATGAGAATAGGGGGTGTCAAACAGTATAAGGGAACACAGGAGGAAGCGTGGAACAAGACGACGAGCAGAAGAATCGAAGTACCCAGTTTTCAGCCTGTGAGTCGACTCATGACTGTTATGAGTCGACTCATCAGGTTGAGTCGACTCATGACTGTCATGAGTCGACTCATCGCTGGTTATTGAGATTTCTCCAGTTTCTGTCGAGTCGACTCATCTCAGTCATGAGTCGACTCATCGAGGGTTTCCTGGTTCGTTTGGGATTCTGTTCACACGAATTCCTGTTGGTTTTGGGTCTGGTTATTTATCAAATTGCCATCCACGTTTGTACACCTATATAAGGGATTGTTTTAGGGTTTCTAAACAATCAGAGAGTTAAATCAAGAGAGATTAACTTGTAATTGAGATTTGGAGAGCTTGTTCTTCAATTCTAGAGTGAGATTGTGAGAGATTGTAAATTACATACTCATAATCTAGAGGAGGTATTTTCCTTCGCCCAAAATCTGAGTTATTCTTGTATTCTTATTATTTCTCCTCAACCCACCTCTGATAATTCCGCGATCAAAGGTGCTCGCACGGCAACTCGTATCAGAGAGATGAATGGTTTTTCTTTTTCTTTTTCTCAACATATTTGCGCATTGCAATGTGCGGCAGTGGCGAACCGTCCCGTATCTAATTCAACAGCGCCTTTTGTTCCTCGTATGCATCCTGACTTTGCCCATTGTGCATGTAGTACATACCCTAATGTAGTTTTGTTTGTTAACATTTCAATCGAGTTTTTATACTCGATAATCCATATCCCAAAAAGCAAAATAAACCCATCAAGCCTTTTTAGTGGTCTTCAATTGAGAACTATTAACTAATCCTTTGCTTGGATATTAGTCTTAATTTGACATTTGATTTGAAAAGTTATAAATTTTTCTACTATGTTGGGTGCTAGCATTAGAAATTAAAACCTTATATTGTGATTTTGTAGTAAGATATTATTTATCCTGACATATTTCTTATGTGAATTCCTAAACATGTTCTTTCATGCTCAATTATATATCTTGAACAATTATGTGTGCGGTGTGCACCTCACATCACTTGGACGCGCGCATCGGGTTGCGTCTTGTGCATGTATGCGTAAAGATGTTTTACGCTCCGCATTGCCCCCCGCGCATTGACAACACTGACTTAAGCTTGATAGGAGATATAGGGTTTGGTTTTTTTTTTCTCTTTCCTTGTTGGAAAGGGAGAGGAATGGGATCTGGAAAGAAAAATTCGATTTTGGCAAAACTTAGAAAGGGATTTTTATGATTTGATTCGATCCTTTTTTTTTTTTTGGCAAAGCTTGAGGATGTTTTGGAAGAAGATATTCTCAAGAATTAAGGTTTTGACGTTGACAGTGAAGGATAGGTTTATCTATAACAGAGCAAATAGGATATGATCTTTTCTTAACGTTGAACTAAAGGAAACTTCTCTAAATTCCCTAATACATAGTTTCTCTAAGAGTGTGTGTGCATGTGTGGAGAAAGAGAAAGAACTTGCTCTACTTCCTTTTCCCTTCGCTGCTACTGCTATTCCTCCTCAGCCTCCTGCTGATTTTTTAAGCTGCAAATCAAGTTTGCAATGCTGCCACAGGTGGAGCATCAACAGAGATTGTGCTGTCTTCACTTCATGTATTGACAAAGAACCAGAAAAAGTGGACAAAGGAAAATAGAAGTGAGATTTACCTGGTCATTGCAGAGAATTTTGGACATCTACGATGATAGATTGTCGGTCGTTCCATGTCTACAGAAGAAAGGTTTCTTACATGCCCAACACCCTGCTAGTTGAACACGGGGACCATTATCATACAAATACAACAGAAAAAAAACTAGAAGCACAATAAACTGTCCGTAGGTAATAGAGTCATACAACTACTGAAATCCATTCTTTTTCTCATATTTTAGTTAAAAATTGAATACTCATCTCAAATAGGAGAATTGTAGATATTGTCATTGTCAAAGTAATAACTAGCAAGAACAGCTGAAGATGGTAATCAAATCCTACAATGAGCTACATACTTGCAAGTACAAGATCCAGGGCATGAAAACTTAGCTTATAAATGATTGACTAGCAATGCGCAATCAAGACAGAAGAGGAATTGAAATAAGACAATGAGATTAAACAAGTTTCAGGCTCAATTCCCCAATTTGACCTTTGTTGAAAAGGTTCCTGATGAATCATGAAAAAGTATAAGGGAAAAATAAGAATAAAATTTGTGATACTTTTAGGCATGAACTCGAACAAGACAGATGATGCATGTAGCTTACTAATATGTAAAGAAAATATGTCACACTGCTAGAATTTTAAGTGATTAAAAATCAACAAAGGAGTATATAGCTAACATTTTATAGCCAAAAACAGGTAAATAGCTTCATGGAATTCTGTAGCAACTCGTAATTTTTTAAAAGAGATACAGAACAATTTTTATTGTTAGTGTGTGTGGGCCATGCACACATTTATTAATTTGGAAGGTATATATTCACAGATAAGACTGTTATTACCTTGGAATTCCGTTCATTTGCGATGGCTATCGGCTGTTCTAAGGGGTCAAAACTAAGGGTAACTTTCTCCAGGGGGGCTGCATTTCTTACAAATGGATGCTGTAACAGATCAGCAGCAGTAGGACGTCTTGACGGTTCGCGTTGTAGGCACTGTCTTATAAAATTCTTCCCTTCATCTGATAGATAATCAGGGATTGGCGGAAGGTCCTTACTATTCCCAATCTTGAACATTGCGGCAATCTACGGAGAAGATTATGACAAATGTCAACAGTAACAGGGAGCAAAGTTAAACATGACACATTAAAATAAGAAAATAATCACATCAAACATGAACATCACTCGATATGGTAACTGCTGTCCACAAAATTTCTGGCCAAAAGTGGCATGAATTGCCTCTTACAATAATTCTTTATTGGATAATATAGTTTTTAGTAACTAAAATTTTTTGCATTAAAAACTATAAGGGCATCAGGAAATTACACAGCTTAGTTGGCTAGTCGCAAAATTCTAGGTCAATGGTGCTTGTGCTCACATAGGTGCAGTAACATAATCAACATGGACAAAGCTCACTACAGGATACCTAGATTGAAACCCCACTGTCATGATCTTTACTTCATACTAAAAAGGGAGGGGTGCAACATGAAGTCTTCGCACACGGTTACCTGCTCCAGTACTATACCTGATCAACCTTAAACTATAGAGTTTTGGTGGGTCCATTTATTCTTTCAAATGTAAAGTTATTCAATCAGATACTCCAGTTTGACATGCATATATAGTCTCTGTGCAATAATCACATGTACCACCAGAACAATGTAGTGCCCAAGCACACTCCTAAACTGAATTGCAAAAAGATACTTTTACGACAATAGGTGTTTTACTGAGGGTATGGTGACATCCCAACTGACACTCTTGATACACAAATATTTGAGAACAAAATCTAAACTTTCGGAGACTTTTTGCCCCTACTATCAGGCATCATAAGAACAAGGCACTAAATGGCAAGATAATAGTTTGATTAGTACTTACAAATTTTAGAGGCGTTTATAGAAATGTGTTCCTTTCAGTATGTACTTCTTAGTCATGCAGATCAAAGGTTAGCACCTTGAAATGTGAGTTAAAAGTTTAAATGACCTGTCACGACACAATTAATTGCCCGGTATAATTATCCTATTGAAAAATAAATGACCTTGTTTCTCACACTTGCATTACAAGCCAGGTGATGATTAATAGCATTGATTTTCGAATTTACACAGCTCATCATCATTTTTAGCCCAACTATAAGAGAGGTATTGCGGTCAAAAAGTACCAAATCGCTTTTTTGAATGTGACAGATGCACCTTTATTTTTAACCGATAAGGATCTAAAATTTGCTTATCATCAGTTTGACGCTATTGTAACTGTTGTATGATAATCATACCAAAGGCACCACCATGCCTTTCCCGCACAAATATTGTGATTCCCCTCCATTCTTTTAGGGTCGTGTCTCCCTGAGTTCATCTACATGCTTTTCTTGGAGTACATGTCTTATGTGAGCGCGCATGTGAGCATATACATGTGCATTTGTGAAGAACTGATGGAAAAATCAATGGTACAGCTGCCAAATCCAAAATACCAACCCCTTCATACTGGCTCCAAGGTGGCTTTGATGTAGCCATCTCCAAAACAGTGCATCCAAGGCTCCATATGTCGACAGCAAGATTACACCCATTTGTGTTTTTTATAACCTGAATAAGGAATGAAAGAAATATTAGTGAAGAATATTATGCAGAAAAGTAGGGAAACGTACAAAAGGAAGTCCTGCTAAGATAGACGAAACTTCAAATGAACTCACTTCAGGTGCCATCCAGTAAGGACTTCCCTTGAATGATAAGGGACATGACTGTCCAGCTATCTGAAAATAACAAGTATGACGCACAAAGTTATGTTAGAAAATATAATGTTAGGGCTGAAAGTAAGAACAATATCTCGTGCATGAACATAATTGATCTCAACACTATCAAGCATCAATGAAATATTAGGAATGACTATGTGATGAGTCCCCTTAATTTTGGTTAAGTATCAAAACACAATCCAGATGTCCAACACCAACAAAAACAAGCCTTGATCCATTTTTGGTCACCCGGGTTTCAATTATCTTCAGAAATAGGCTTAGAAAATAGTAGCGAGAACAGTTTGAGTCCAAAGTGCCTAACAAATAATATGCATTTTAATCCCGATTCATCAGGGAGGGCCAAAACGTAGGATTAAACAGCAAGCATTCAGTTCTACCACTAAAGAATCTAAAATCATTGCTGAAAAGGTTTCCATGATTAAAAACATTTTCATAGAAAGCATCTACTTAAAGAAAGTTTGGCATAAATTGAACATGAAAAGTTCTTCAAAATAACTTATTATGATGTATTGTATCTCTTTGGAAGGATATCTCAAATAGATGTATGACATAAATTGAAATCAACACCGTCTGTTGTTAATTCAAGTAAGAGTAAGAAACATTTATTTGGTAATGAATGCTCTGACTGGCAAAGCCTAATCCAGTTTCCACAAAAACAATCAGTTCAAACAAGTTTGATATGGATATGGTCAAAATTAAGTGATTCAGGACTCAACCTATATAAGGTAGCAGGATATCATCACAAGGCACTGTCTTTGCATTTTACAGGTTAAAGTGGAGGAGTAATGTGGTACAACAAATTCCTTAAATATAAGAATCCCTGACATGAAACTCACTTTTATACCCCCTTTGCCAAACTGGACTCTTGAGTCTAAAAGCAACCTTGTAAACATTCTTAGTATGTTTAACCAAGTTGTTAGACATAAGAAACTTAAGAAAGTAGTAGCTAAGTAATAAGTGAATGTAATACAACTAAATTGACTCTTACGTGTGACTTAACGAAGAAGAATCCACTAATTCAGACCTATCCAAAAGACACGTCACTAGAGTCTTGCTTTAGTTTCCTCGTTCAGTCAAAAAACAGTGAATGTAATTTAAATAAATTAAAAGTTTAAGTGAAACTTAACAAAGAAGAACCCACCACCTCAAACCTATCCTAAAGAGACACTACTAGATTTCTGTTTTAGTTTTCTTGTTCGATGAAGAGGCGCTACTCATAACAATTTTTCCTTTCTAATTGCCTGTAAGTGACCCTGCTAAATGGGTCAACTGAACTTCTTCCCTTAACCTTGCTAACCAAATCAACTGAACTTCTTCCAAAAAAAAGATGATGATGAAGTATTAATGAATAAAGAAGTAACAAGCGCTCTGAAGCATAAGCATAACGGACAAATGAAGTGTACAAGCATGAACATCTATCTTCCACGGAATCTAGTAACAGGAAAAGCATCTTCCTCAATAATGTATCGCTTCCAGAAATTGGCAGAAGGGGGTAAAAAAAAGAACTCTTAAATATTACATGTTTTGCCATCCCGAAATCTGCCAGCTTAACTCGTCCGTTTGGGTCTACAAGTATGTTTGCACCTTTAATGTCCCTGAATAGGTAGCAGAGAGGTATTTAAATAAGATAGAAAATCACAGTGATAAGGTTATGAATTCACTTAGTATGCTTTATGTGCCCGAACTAATAAAAGTAGAACTCGAGAGAAGAGATATTGAAACTATGTCATACCTATGGACAGTATTCTTGGCATGCAAATATGCTAGGCCGGAAAGGATTTGTTGGGTATAGCTCCTGATTGCTGGCTCACCAAACTGCCCATACTCTTGCAGAAGCTTGTGTATGGAGCCACCGGATACATACTCCAGGTAGATATATAGTCTATCATCTATCTGTCAAAAGAAACATTAACACATTATTAGATAATCTCTAGAATGAAGATAAATATATGGCACGGCATCTTACAAGTTAAATACAGCAAAGACTACAGAAACAAACATTAACGTGTGCAGAAGTAAAGAACATGAGCAAAATCTATATTAAATGGTTCAAGCTCAATCTTTCAGTTTAACAAAGATCACAATGCTAGCCTGCACCATGATCCCTATGAATCATCAGAAGATACATAGTACAAGTGGCAGAAATACTAGGGAAATTCTGATTATTTAATATGGCTATAGTATATTCATGCATGAATCTCCTCTTGATCCACAGAAAGATTCAGGATATAACAAAACCAATGATACATAATCTTAATCACAAAAGAAAATAATACTTAACAAAATATAGGCTGATTCATCCCATGACAAAATATCGGCTTAGCTTACAACTCCAAAAGTTAAGACTGACAACACGCCACAGTTCCTTATTCGAAGAGAAATTCTCCAAAAAGCTTATAAAAAATAAGTACAGGAAAGAAACAAGAAAAGAAACACAGAAGGAATAAAAGAAGAGAAATGAACAACAGAAACCAATAGCACCCTTGCTTCACTTACTATAAATATCTAATGCATCCACAAACACAAGCATGAAGCATTAATACCTTCCATAACTATTTAAGGCAAGTAAGCAGCAAATACTTTCCTGAATGAACAAGATATGATACATAATTATAAGGCTTTTTGCTAGCTTCAAGCTTATCGAATATTTAAGGATTCAAAGAACGTCAAAGATTCTTAAGGTGGGAAATTACAGTCATAGATGATGACAATATAGTTACTATACAAGTTGGTGAAAAAGGAGAATTCAAAAAATAATCAGAAAATTTGAGAACTGATACATATTAATAATCAGCTCATTTCAAAAACTAAACCTATCAATGCGGATTAAAAGTACTTCATACCATCTCACTTCCATAATATTGCACTATATTCTGATGCCGCAACCTACTCAACAGGGATATTTCCTGTCATAAAAAGAAGCAACCAAGATTCATAAATATGCTGCAGATTGACAGCCTTCAATCATAAAAAGTATTTATCCTCCAAATTAAGATTTGCCCAAATATAGACAAATAAAAGTCACTTACTTGCCCCAACTGTTTTGCACTTTCTTTTGACTTAGCATCATCGAATAGGGTAACTTCCTTCATGGCACACATTTCACCACTTTCACTATGTAGTGAATAGAGAAACAGGTAATTAGATGCATGCATATGCAACACAAACTTGAATAATTAAAACGTGTCTTCTTGCTCTGATTGTAAACCAGAGAAGCAATTTAATGACTCCAGAAACTTAATACCAATAACAAAATTTCACCAATATATAACAAATTTCCATTGTGTAGTTCACCCGTTTAGGGGTTTGCTTCCATTTGCTACAATATAGAGCCTTAACCTTGTCCATGAAACAAGAGTAAAAAAATTTTCATTATCTGAAGAAAATTTGAATATATCATCATCACAAATCAAGTCACTAGGTCAAACTAGTTAAATGTAATAAAGATCTATTTCGCTAATATGATAGCGAAGGCAATCTTGCACCTGATCATTCAAGGTAAAAGAAAAACTTTTGCAACCTTGGTTTATTTGTGAACATACACATGTTTAAAGCAATACTGCTACTTTAAAAATCTATACTATGTAAATAGATGTTACTTTTTCTTTTTCTTTTCCATTTAAATATTGTTTTCCTGAACAAAGTATTTGTCTCTTTGATTTCATGGTTAATTTATGACTGTATCTCTTTGTTTACTTCATTATTGAAATTAATTAAGTAGTACACCATAGATGCTAGATTGACAGACACTAGATAAATCTCCATGAAATAATGTCAATATAATAATGATAAATATTGCCAGGCATCCAAAGTCTGTAATAAACTATCATTTTGCTAGCTGAAAACTAAAAAGCAACAAGATCATCTGGCATAAACTCAGCCAAAGTAAAAATACTTTGAATTATTAGGAGAAGATAGTGCACCTATTAAAGCCTACATAAACATGGCCAAATGTGCCCCGACCAATCATCTTTCCCTTCTTCCACCGTGAACCGGGACTCGGTAGATTCTCTGTCTTTCCAGGACTTCTTGGTATTGGGGGAGACGTACATGATTGCAAGTTATTTGGAGAAAAAGGAGATATATTAGAAACATCTATAGGAGGAAGTGGGAGACGGTGGCTTTGCTTTTTTCCCTCGTCATGCCGACTTGTAGGTGATCCTGGTGCAGTTCCTCCAGCACGCGGGTGTAATGGAGATACAGCTCCACTGTGTATCCTAGAACCTGGACCTGGACTAGTCATTCGAGGACTAGGTATAGGAGAACATTCTTGACTACCCCGACTTTGCAGCCCAAATAACTGCCCCAGCATATCTCCTCCCAGTGAATTATGACCAGACGTCTGCCCTGAGCCAGGACTAGAACATTGACCAGACCCAAGGAAAGTTACGTCTAAGTAAGGCTTTGATGCCAAAAAGGCAGAAGTGGGTATCTGTTCAGGGCAGATGGCTCTCATTGGACTTCTTGAAGGGCTTGACATCGAACTATCAGGAGCACTTCCAACAGCGCCATGGCGAGTAACCTGTATATTGCCTTGCTGATTGCGTGAAACTCCACGTTTGGGTGATGTAGATAAACTTTGGCTATTGAGCAAATTAACAGGCTTCAGCAGTTCTTTTGCATTCTTTGGAACAGAACGAACAGTCTGATGTTTCTGTGCCGGACTTCAAACACAGAAAAGAAAATGTTAAGAAACAAAATGATGAATAACAACATCATAATTAATAGTAACATGTTAATGACATACCACAAATTGTTTTTTGCCACTACCCTGCCACCATCGTCAGGCCCATAACTTACAGGGCTGTAAAGTCGCGACTCTGCAGGATCATCACTATCAACAGAGCAATCACTGGAAACAGATGCAGTAGTCAAATCTGCTTCAGTATCATGAGAGACTGGTCTTCGTGGAACCCTATCTGGTGTTGGAAGTGGCAAAAACAGAGGAGGTTTACCACGTTTTTCCAGCACTGGCTTTGAAACACTGACTCCAGAGGGAGTGTGTGTTACGCCTGAGTGTAGCCCTGGAAGTGGAAGCGGCTGAGCATGTGACCAATCAAAACTTTGACAGCGTGACACTTGCGTCGAGGGTGATGTAGATCGAGATTCTGCTCTTGATCGGGATCCTTTCTCTGAAGTTGTATCACAGGTATCCCTCCGGGTCCCTCCTGGCTTGGCAAGACCCCTCTGTTCAGTTGGACTTATGAACCGCTGCAAAGTATCAATAAGATTTTCTTTTGTGGTCTTCTTCTTCACATCTTTTGAGGAAGATTTGCTCCACCATGAAGGCATGTTATATGTTAGAAGGAAACGTATCTTGAGTTTCTATAACTCGGATGCACTATGAATCAGAATATTAAACAAAACCCATAGTCCTCAATGCCAACCAGAAAGCATTCAAAAGAATGCTTGAGTACACAATGTTCCATCCAAGTATTTCTACTCGTGATAATGTTATGAAGCGCAAGCCGCACTCACAAACAGTGGAGCTTGATGAATGATAATCATCAACAATAAAATCTTAGGACCGTTGCAATTGCTTTCAGACACCTGAATAAAGCAACAGTACAGTTATTTTCTTTTCTCTAAATTCTAGAGTCAAGCTTAACGTACCCATCATCCAGGAAAAATATTTGGTAATGATAGCTGTAAATAAAAAGCAACCGGTAGCATATCAGTGTTCATGCAGAATAGATTCTTTCTTGATAGATTCAACGTGCATAGATCTACAAAATCTCAAATAGTAGAATAAATTACGAGCTAAAGATGTGGATCCTATACTTCTCCTGCAGGTGTCAGATAAGCAGAACAGAAACTCAAGATATTCCACTGGAACTCTTGAAACAAATCACCCTTTAAAGTTCAACACATATGACCTAATACAACCTACAATTCTAAAATATTTTCCAGATATGGACACCACCAAGGTTGAAAATCAATGTTATTGGCTAGGTTGAAAATCAATGTTATTGGCATTCTTATAATGATGTAAACATGTGTGTAGGGGCTTAGAGACTTTTACCGAAATAATCAAAAATATTGTCCCATAAATCACTATATCTACTTTATATTTTTTAGAAAAACAATGCTAGACTCATAAGGGCACAAGCAGTATAGGCTATTATGGTTCAAACAACCAACTACCCAAGGTGATTATGACCAAGAGACTATAAATGAATCAAAAGTACAGATATGATCCTGAGGAGGGAGGCAAAGTCAAGAATACGAACCAGAAAACGAGATCCATATGTGTAACCTCTCAAATAAACAGTGTCATGTTCTATTGATTGCTTGGTAAAACCACTTGTCTGCGCATCAAAACTGTTAGAAGAGAGTAGAAAAGAGTATTAGTTTAGTCCCACATTGCTTGTGAGACTAACTTGTAATTAGTAAGAGTATTAGTTTAGTCCCACATTGCTTGTGAGACTAACTTGTAATTAGTCCATCACTATAAATAGTATAGTATAGAGTGAGGGGGGTAATCTCTCCAATAATCTCTTTTCTCTTCAAATATCAACATGGTATCAGAGCAAGGTTCCTAACCCTAACCCTAATTCCTAAACCCAAGCCGCCAAAACAACCTTAACCCTAAACTCTAATCCCTCTTCTAACCCTAACCCTAACCCTAATCCCTCATCTGACTCCTCTAGATCCGACTCCTCCCTCTCTCCTCCAGATCCGACTCCTCCCTCTTCTAACAGCCATGTTCCTTCTCCTAAACCCTAAACCCTAATTTTCGTCACTGTCTGCTTCGTCCGCCACCGTCACTTCTTACTTTGTTCGCTGCCGCTTGCTGCCGCCGCCGCTTGCTTTGTTCGCTGCCACTTGCTTCCTTAACAACTTGGATATCTTACCTTGCTCGGTGTTTCCTCGAGTTCAAACTTGGATTTGATCTTGAGAAGAGTGTTTGTCTTATCTTGCTAAGATATTCACTCCAGTTCTTGTTTCCACATCGAAACATCAACGTCAAACCTTTTTCACGTCCGACTCGAATCGTTGAATCGGTGATCCACAGAGGAAACTCCAGATCCAGATCCACTTCACCGATTCGATCTTCCTCGGTAACTCCCGCCCGCCGTCGATAATCGCCGCCACCATGTCCCTTTGTTTTCGGATCTGACTTAGATCTGCGAATTGTTCTCTTCAAAAAAAATTTACCCTTTGGGTTCTTGAACTTTAACCTTCGGGTTTCATGTTAACATTTGGGTTCTTGCATTTTAACCTTCGTGTTCTTGTATGTTAAGCTTCGGGTTCTTGCATTATTAACCTTCGGGTTCTTGGACCTGTTCAGCCTACTGGCTTATTCAATGATTATTATCTTGAACTTGGACTTGCTTTGATTGTGGAGTACAACTTGTGGAGGGTATCATCTTGATCTCTACTCGTCTGTTTCATGATAGCCGAATCTGAGGAACTCAAAAATTCTGAGTTAACGATCCAGACGAAAGTTTCAGAGATATATTTCGGTAGAATCACTGACCGAAAACTTGATGGAATTAACAATTTTCAGTGGAAGCGTGTTATCGAAATCTACGTGGCAGACTGAGACAAAACTAGTCATTTGTTGACGGACCCTCCTACTCCAACACCGGAGTCTTGGACATTAGATGATAATGTCATCTTACATCAAATTCTTAATACTATGGAACCTAAAATTTAGGATTTAGTCCTTCATTGTATACTTTTTAAAACATCATCATCAGACTACAATGCAATGAATACATAGAAAGTTGCTTGTGATAAAAATAAGCACATCTTCAGTGCTCAACATGACACGTGTATACATCTATGTCCAAAACAACAAATGTACCCCCATTTTGGATATTTCTTAGGGGTGAGCAAACAGTCAGTTAAGTTAGTTTTGACTACATTTTGTCAAACTGAACCAAACCGGTTTAGATCTGAACCGAACCGAATCAAATTGATTTAGTGCAGTTCGATTCGGTTTGTTTGATTTATGCCTAGACATATCAAAGCTAGAGAATTGTTAGCTAAGAATCAACACCCTTACTCTTTCAAACCTCTCATTCATTAAACTAGTGCGCACCCCGTGCAAAGCACGGCCTCATTTTTTTTATTTCTGCTACCGTAATTCTGTTTTTTAATGTTTTTTGTTAGTGCTACAGTAACATTTTTAAATGTTACGGTTTTCCCACCTGTGCTACAGTGATAATGCTACAGTAATATTTTTAGAACGCTACGGTTCCCGTACGTGCTACATTAATAATGCTACAATAATTTATTGTATCATTTACTGTAGTATGAATAGTAAACCTTTGGATCCTCCTATTATTATAGAGGAATAGATATCCCAAGTTTAAGAGAAACCTCATCAAACAACTACTTTGTAAACTAAAATTGAAATTTTATTAACTAAACATAAAATATTAGTATACAAATTTTTTCACCTAGAACGACCGTGACTTTTAAACATTTATGTTGAGAGTGGTTGGTTCGGTTTTTTCAGTATCAAATATTCGAAAACCAAACCAAAGGGACATTTTTCTAAAACCGAACCGAACCGCCAAAATTCGGTCGATTTAATCGGTTTGCATTGATTTATGCTCACCCCTAATATTTGTAACGTGTGAATGTTGTAAATACCAAAGCTAAAGTATATAACAGCATACCCTAAATCTAGACTTACAAATGCATAGATATCAATATGACCCTTTAAAATCATAGTTTTAGACAAGGCATGGGGTGGAAACTGAAAACAAGTTGACCTGTATGCAACAAGTTTCAGAAAGTAGATGTCCAAGATGTGTACAACAAGTGTAATAAATGAGAACATAAATTATACAATGAAGTACACATCTGAATAAATATATACATATATTCAAGAAATGGTCAGGGAATAGTCATTGTCTGATATGGGTATAATACATGTCGCGACTTCATGATAGAAACACCTAAGGAACAAAGTTTTCATATAAGACACCAAAAATTCTAATTTGGATATAGTCCCTATAAAATCTGTGAATTATTTTTGCCTACAAAATACCCAAGTCACTAGATATGGTACACCAAATTATTGTAATGCTTTACGTGAAATTGGGTCGTCTTTTGGCATAAGAAATATAACATTCACATCAGACGTCACATTCCCTAGAATCTAATTAAGGCATGAGGTGAAACTTCATTGTGTTAAATTAGCTCCACGCTGCTAGTGACATCATAGCCAGTGGATCTCACTATTTCCATCTATTGATGGATCATTTTGTTAAATGAGGTGTCATCCAATATTGATACAAGTCGTCGTGCGAGCACCTTTGATTGCGGAATTATCAAATGTGATTTTGAGAAGAAGACAGTAAAACACACAAAACAATTCAATTGACGAAGGAAATTACCTTCTCTAGATAATGAAGAATAAAAGATTACAAAATCTCTCTCACAATCTCTCTAGAATAAAGAACAACTTCTCTATTCTCTTTAAACTCTTATCTGATGTTTAGAAATCCTAAACAATTCCTATTTATATCTCAAACAACATGGATGGCAAAATCGTAAATAACCAAGCCCAACACAACTTGGAATTCGCGTCAAACAGAATCCAGATTGGCCTAGGAAACCCGATCCGATCGACCGACATGCCTGGTTCGGTCGACCGACCAGAAAGTCGTTTTCTCGACCCTGTAGGTGCATGCTTTCCGTCGACCGATGTTGATCACACGGTCGACCGATGGTGCTTCCGCGATCGAATGATGCAAGCTCTTCGGTCGATCGGCCAGAGCTGCTTCTCCAGCTTCCTGATTTTAGCCGTTTTCGTCGCTACCGACGACTCCGCCTACGTTTTTATTCTCAAGCTATCATGATAATCATCTATCCTCAAGCTCCCATGAGAATCGCTAAGTTCCCGAAACAGAGAAAAGATACCCCCTATCAAATATTGCCTGCTCGGTGTAATATTCCATCATATCATCTCTAAAAACAAAGGGTTATAAACGATGTGACACTCCTTAACATAAATCTCCTAATTTAACCCAAGAATGGTGCAGAATGAAAAGTCAAATGTGTCCATGCTGAAGGCAAAGAGGGATAATGGCGATGAGAATAGGTACAATGTCAAATGTTCCAACAGAAACCAATGTCAATTTCCCAAAAAAAACATTGATGCAGCTAATGGTGGCATCAATGATTACTGGATGACTGCGGGGAAGAGGAATGAAAAGAGATGGGTATGCAGAGGGTTAGTTTGAATATGATTTTTTTGTTGAATCCACACCAGGTGGCAGGTGGTAATGTAAGAGACCTGCCTATAATGAGGGGGATTACATTCCACGCAATGCTGACAAGAATTCCATCTTCTAGAGACTATGGGTCATGATTATGCCAAATGCGAAAGGGAATTACATCGCAACCTATAACATTAATGTTGCAAAATCAAAATCCTTCCAAACTACAAAGTACAATCTTGACACTAACATTTTTTTTATGGCTAAATATTCATGTAGGTCCATCCCATTAAGTGATCAGATTCTCCCGCTACATTCTAAAACCTACTCACATTACGCACTCCAATGATATTTTTAAAGCTTCCATACTTGAACCATCCAAAACAGCTCAAATTATACACTCTCACGTGCCTCACTGCATCGATCCACATATTTTATTAGTTAAAATGACTATAAATGGCTCTAAAATAAATCTGGAATACACAGAAAATCGACTTATTATGTTCGTACACCTAGTTTAATCCTCTTTTGAGATCCAAAAAAAACACATTGACACGATATAACATCAAAAACATGAAAAATTAGACGCCGTCAAAGTATTAACAGTAATTTGTGCATTATCTGGGGGTAATATCCAAATTAGAGTCTTTTCACGGGTAATCCAAGAAGCTCATTTTACGAACAGGACACAACTAAGTAAATCCATAAATACTTGAAAAAAGAAAAAGAAATGAATCCTGAAACAGAGAAGAAATGCTTACCACTTCGATAACTTCTTCATCAATGACGAGGTTTCAACTGCCAACGATTCCCAAACTCTGGCCCTCGCTCCTCAGAGTGTTAGGGTTTCGAAATGGGTTCCATGTACGTAGTCAAGAGAGAGAGAATGAGAGCCAGAGATCTGAAAAAGCTCAGATTCGCTGGTCGAAGACGAGAGAGAGGGACAGCGATGTCGATCTTAAGATGTCTCAGATTTGGTAAAGTGAGCTGGGGAATTTTTTGTATTAAAGAATTATTTTAATATAATGGGTGGGGTATAGATAAATGGACGCGCCGAAGCCCAAAATGTTTCCTGAGGCTTTTTTAAGACTTTTTTGAAAGAAAAAAAAAAGAAGGAGAAGGAGAAGAAAGAAATTGGTCTTTTAATACCTATGGAGTGGTAATTTAAGTTGGGTAAAAAGAAAAACTGAACAATTTTTGGGATTAATTGCATAAAGACCCCTTTCGTATCACCCAATTACAAAGGGACCTTATATAGTTCTATTGTTGGCAATAGACCCCTTCTAGTTCAACTTGTTGCCAATAGATCTCATGTAGTAATGCTCCAAGTGCGAATACACCCCTTAGTATCTTTTTTGACTTTTTTAACTTTTTTAAAAGTAAAAAAAATAGCAAGTAGGTGTCTATCCTCAATAATAGAATGTGTCATTGATGGCTTTTTTTCTCACCAAGTCAGTGCTCACATAAGCGCCACATCAGCCCGCCTAAAGAATGTTCTTGTATTTTCTTGTATACTCTTGTAAATGATATATCTATATAGAATTCTTTAGAGAATCAGTATTGGCCATTGGATGTAAGGTTTTCTCTAGAAGAGAAATCCATGCTACTCTTGTAAAGGGAACCTCCCTTATATAAGTAGGCTAGGGGGAGCACATTTGTAATCAAGCAACCTTTGAGTAATAGGATCCTCAAGTTCCTCTTAAAGTTCTCTTGTTTTTTTGAGTGCTCGGTTCGGTAAGCTGAACTTAGTCATTCTAGTGAGCCAAGAGTGAGCTAAGTGTCACACGAGAAGGCTAACTTGTGTTGCAAAACAAAGCGCTCGTGACATATGCGCCTCCTCTGACATTTTTGATGATTCCAAGAGTCAAAATAATTCACTCAGGGGTCTATTCTCAAATAAGTAGGAACTACAGAGGGTCTATTCGCAAAAAATAGAACGACATGGAGTCTTTTTGCAATTGGGTTACACTAAGAGGGGATAGTTTGCAATCAACCTTTTTTCTTAAATGTGGTTGGAGTATAATGAGCACACGGCAATACAGGATATATATATGTGTGTGTATGTGTGTGTTATATATATCTATATATGATATATATATATATATATATACTATACTAATATATATATATATACTACTATATATATATATATATATCCATATATGCAGGACAAACGCCCGCCGCGGCAGTGAGGCCGCTCGGCACGCGTACGGAAATTTCCTACGGCTGCCAATGCTGCTTATGACAATGTGAGCCCCCCACACCGATCATGCCCACTACGTAGCGGGCGGCTCACATGTCATTAAACACTTGCCAGCACCGTAAGGAAAAATTCCTACCCGCTGCCAGCCCTCACCTCCCGTTTTCTCTTCCTATATACTATACTATACTATACTACTATTATATATCCACCCCATACCAGCGCATGTATATACATATCATAATATAGATATATATATATATCATATATATATATACTATATATATATATATACTACTATACTATACCTAATATTCATATATAAATATAGACCGCAGAGAGCACGCACGAGAGAGAGAAGAGAGCAAGACCGACCTGAGATGAGAGAACTTCTATCACTTAAGTGGATAGGCCAGACCTTAGTTCCACCAAACTTTTTCTCCACTCATCTCTGGCTTCTCAGATGTTGTGCCCATCAAAAGATGCCCACAAATCTTAAAAGCCATTACTTCATATCTATCCAAGGCATCCCAATGGCCCAATATCAAATTCCCTCTCTCTT